CCATCAGCAAAAGTAACAACAATTGCAATAAGAATAGCTAGTTGGGAGTAGTTCACGCTGTAATACCTTTGCTATGCGATACTTTACTTACTCAAATAATACAAATATATTCCTCGACTTGCCAAGGCAGAAATCTGATTGCCTTCTCACTGACTACTCAAGCAATATTTAAAAACTATTTCAACATAATTTTTAAGCACATAAACTAGCAATTAGAAGACAGCATAAATAGATAGATTTGCTAGAGAAACTATATAAAATTAGTTTAGTTGTCAAATATGTCAAAAATGTCAATTATTAATTCCAAATATTAAATGGCTTTTATATATTAGATTAAATTATAAATATTAGATTAAATATATTTCTACAATATTTGTTGGATACAAATCTTTTAAAACATAAAACATAATCAAGTAATTTCTTAATCCACTTACTTTTCTATATTACATATATTAGACCAGGTCGCATTGCACTTGCAGATAGGGTATAACAAGGGCAGTCAGCGCAGCAACAGCCACTACAGCAAATCAAAGTTAAAAGTAGCGAAAGAACCCAAGTAAACAGGTGCAACGCGGAGGCAGCTACAAAAGCTTATGGGGCAAGTCCATCACGGTGGGGGGGAGTGGGAGTAAGTGGATGTCTGACTGGAATTGGAGCTGACTGGAGCAGACTGGCGCAGACTTCATTGTTCCCACAGTTTTTCGAACGTCGCGTCAACCTAATAGACTTTTCACGCTTCGGTTTTAAATTGAAGCGCTGATTTTGAGCAGCTGATATTTTTACATTGTTTTTTATTTTCATTGAATGGTGCAGATTTATTTGCCAGAAGTTTTGCAATTCGCAAAGTTTGCAAACAACTGGCAGGCCAGCAGATAGACAAATGGGCTTTTCTGCCAAAAGGGTAGGACCACGAAATAAGTTGCAGCTTAAAGAGTGGAATTCAAATCAATTCGAATTGAATTGACTTCAGTTGGCTTTTCAGTTGGGCAGAGTAGAGTTGATATTTGTTATTAATTGCTGGTCGCTGGAGCCAAAGGGTTGCCAAATATCACCTATATATATACATGCTTTTTATGTGTGCCAGACCTACCAAAGACTTTTGCCAGCAGCTGCCATTGCAATTTGTTTTGGCAATACAAACATTGCTTAAGCCCTCGGCAAAAACTAATAAAACAAATCGCATGTGCAAGCCAAGACTAGATTTTGTGGCCTCTGGTCAATGAACTCGGCAGCACCCAGTCACAACCCTCTGGGTCGACCACAGTCAATGCCTAAGGCATACGGCCGGCTTACCAAATCGAGTTGGCAGTTTAAGAGCAGTGCAAATTGCCGAGAATCTGTAAAGACGCCGCCCACTTCACCCCTGCTTTCAGCTCCCACCTCCCACCACCCAGCCAAGGGTTGCTCTATCTGCAGTGGGCGTTGCGCCCCTCTGGACTATGCAATTTGTGCGCTTATCAGTTGCCGCATTGATTGGAATTGTGCTCGCATATTTATGCAAGCAGCCGCTTCCGACAAGCGCTTAGTTTTATGGACTAAACAGAACTTCGACCCGAGCACCACAGTCCGCAACACAACGACAGCCATTGACCACGGCATGCAATGACCAGACAAATAACAAAGATGAAGCCCTCAGATAGAACTGAGACTTGCAAAACGTGGGATGGAACGCGTTCTCTAATTGTGTGAATGAGCACGAGGCAAGACAAATGGGAACTGCTCAGAAACTTACGAGAACTCATTAGTTATATAAATACGAATAGTTCTTATATATATTTATATATAAAGCTAATGATGTTACTGTAAAGTGTAGCGAATAGTTTTAATTATCGATTATATATTTACTTATGGCAGAGGATGGCATTTAAGCCTCGGCCTAAACTTTTAATTTGTGTAATTTTCTTTACTGCTATTTTGCCAATGATATTTATAAGTCATGTGTGTTAGATAATAAGAGCTTACAGCTGTTTGAGAAACTGTATTTATTTGTCAACTTACAACTAGAAAGATAATTATCTGAGCTCGAAATACTGTCAGCTCATTTTTAAAGCTGTGAAATATGACTGCGTTGCTATAAAATAATAAAACAATAAATTGTATTATTCTGAATGTATATAATAATTATTTTAGCTAAGATTTGTTGTCATGCGACAACTTTTAGTTTCTGCTTTCTTAAACATCATTAATGGTTCCCAGTGACTGTGAAAATGGAGAAGCAAACAATTTCTAAATTGGAAGAAACCTTCAACAGAAAACAAAACGTTTTGTGACTTTTATCTCTATTATATTTTTCTTTAGTTTGTTTTTTTTTTCCCCCTAAAAGTGGCTGCAGCCAGTTGATTGTTGTTAGTGGTAAGGTCAAGGATTATTATACTTCATCATAACTCTATTAAGCGCGCGTCCTCAAATCTTGGCAGCCCGGCTGCCTGGCTGTTGTACATTTGTTTGCAGATTGTTATTATCTTTAAGAGCGGCATACACACAGTGAAAGATTCAACTGCACTTAGCCACATGAGCTGCCACAGCATCACCCCACCGAACCCGAACGCTGCTGCCACCACTCGACTTGACTCGTCTCGGCTCGAGTAAACTCATCTCTGAGCTGCAGTCTGGTGATAGTTTTGTCTTTTTAAAGCCACCGCACGGCGCGGGCTTAAAATTTTTACTGATTTTTTCTTTTTGTCTTGTATTTGGTGGGAGTATTAGTTGCTAAGTTTTCCATAGCTTGGCATTAAGTAAAAGTCCAATGAAAGCGCCATCAAACAGCAGCCGCAACGGCAAAAGTAGCAGGCGATGAGAAAACGCCAAAGTCAGTTTTAAGTTAAAGTTTAAAGACTTTCATAGCAGACGCCAGCGGCGTGCACTTTTAATTCGATTATTAAAAGTTTCGCATTACTTCCGAAAGCCCAAAAACCAAAACTGAACATTTCACAACGAAAATGAACCACGACAAAGACATAAACATTTTGGGATGCCATCAGCTTCACTGCCTGCTACGCCTGCCTTCAGGTCTCGTGCTGATGTTGATGCAGATGCTGATGCTGATGTAGATGCTGATGATGATGGAGCAGAAATTAGTGAGCAGAGGCTCAGTCTCGGATTATGATTGCATAGATAATGCAGCTTGGACGTTGTCATCTGATGGCGGCGCGTGACAGCCAAAGACGCCCCCTTTGCTATGGGCTGGGCGATATCTTTGTGTACGAACGGGTGTGTGTGTGTGGATGTGTGTCTGGAGGGAGTCAAATGATTGCGCTGACGACTGCATCAGGCAATGACGAGTTAATTTTTGCGCCAGCTCATGCATTAGTCGAGCGCCCCAAGCTGGTTGGCCAGCATCTCCATTGTATAACACTCGATGCACTGGCGACATTAAAGCCAAGGAGTGACCACATCGAGAAATGGCATCGAAAAGGTCAAATCGCAGCGACCACAAAAATAAAACTGGGTGATGTTCATTAGCGTGAAACTATAAAAGAAACGACAATGGTAATCTCTGAGTGAAACCAAAGAGAAACTTCGACAAAACCTTTGACTGCACTTTAAACCAGCAATGCATTTCCTAGCATATTCGCCTACTTCTCCCTCGCCTGCCTTCCCCCATATTGCTATCGGCCTTTGGTGCTGTCTGTTTCCATTTGCCCTGTCCTAGGCCTGTGACTTTTTGCTCGATCCCTGGCCATGTTTACATCAGAAACGTGCCTCAAGTGTTCCTGTCACCGCACAAATTGGACATTTATTTGTTGCTCGCGGCTAAAAGTTTGAAAAGTGTTGGGAATAGAAAAAAATTTGCAAATAACAAAAAAAACAGAAGAAACTGAAAGAAATAAATGCAACGCTGCCATTTCTGTGGAATTATATGGGGCAGAACGTGTCGAGGATTTTTCATTTCATCCGTAACAGCAACAACAGCAGCAACAACAATAACGATTGGGGCAATGATGCAGCGTCTTTGTGGCGCCTACTCAACAAATATGTTGCAGTTGCCGGTTGGTAGATGGTTGGCCGTCTTTTGTTGAGGGGCGTGCCGCGATCCGCTTAGCTAATTGACGGCTGCCAACTGGTTTGGTTTGGGGTATACTACGAACGCCCACAGATGGATAACGCTTAAGCAGCCAACATCCCGGCAGCCCGTCAGTCCATACAGGCGGTTTAACTCAATTATGCCACTTGCTGCACTGCAATTTGTCAATTAGTTCAGCTGCCACATAAGAAGCTCAGGAATTGATTCTCTCCATTAAATCTTGTTGATTGTTGATTGCCGATATTTCTTGAAGAAGTAGTTAAGATTTTCAGTGCATGCCCCACAAGCTTTTACTATTTCTTCTTCAAAAACCTGTACAGATATAGATATAAACTCACATCAAAATAATTGCTTAATAATTGCCAAGATAAATGCCCAGAAATCGAGAAAAATAAATTCAAAGTCGCTGAATATTGAATGCCCTGCAAATCTATTTATATTCTTTGTTTTAGAGAATATGTTTTATAATATATAAATATTTGATCAGAGAAGATATGGGTTCACATTCAAATAAAATTGTTATAATTAAGATCTTAAAGTAATGCCAAAAAGGGAATAAAAAAATTAATAAAATCAGTTCTAAAATTAATTAAATTAAAACTATATTTTATTTACCAGCGCTTAGCTGATCCCAAATATCTTACTAAATGCAATTTACTTCCGAACCATACATATTTTCAGTTTTTCAAGTTATTTGCTTGATTATTTGCGGGTTGTTCATGTTGCCATTTTTAATCTATTTGTGTTTGGTTCTTTCAGAATTTCCTTGCTGCGAATGCGCAATGCTGGTGGAATGCTCCACTGACTGCCGCGACACGTGCGCTTAAATATGCCGGACATGTGGCGCCGGGAATGCTACTGGTCACTGCTGAGCCCTGCGCTCTGGAGGTGCTGCGAGGCGCCTTCGCACGCAGCGTGCTCAAGCCGCCGGCCACCTACATTATCAGCTCTGTGGGTAAGTCGAGAGTAGAAATTTAGTTGTCCTGGTGTTCGATGTATAAATTTGTTGTAAGATTATCTAAAATAAAAAAAAATTTGTTTACTGTGCCGCAATGAACGTTGAGGGCATGAAGTGTGATGAGAATTTGGCTGCCTATCGCGAAACGTTGCTGAACAGCAAGAGAGTGCTTTATTGGTGCCGGCGGCTGAATTTGATGCCCGATGAGGTGCAGAAACTGTCGCCGCAGCAGATAAAGTCCCGCAAATTGTTAGTGCAACAGGCGGAAGAGCTAGAGGAGCTTCGCAGGAAGCAATTCAAACGCTGGCAAAATCTCAATGAACTGCGCTGGCTCATGTACGAGGAGCAGCGCAAATATAATGTGAAATGTGGTCAGCAAGCGACGGACACTTCCATCTGGCAGATCTTGTCCTTAGCACAATACGAGCTGGAAAAGGAGTTAGACATGCCAAGTCTTCGCGGCGACTGTCCTCGTTTTCCCTCGCCCATGTCTGTTGCGTATACCAATCGTGAGTCAGACAGTACGAACAATGTACTCAAACCACTAACACCTGTAATCATGGGATTGAGCGAGTCTCAAAACATACAATTGTCGGAAGAAAAATTAACGACACTCGCAAGCAACCAATTGTCGGCAGAGGGACTAACGCCGCTCGCAGACAGGCAATTGTTGGCAGATGAACTGACACGCATCGAAAGTGGGCAATTTCCGCAAGTGTGGATAGAGGAGCTGAGGCGACTCGCAAGCAAACAATTAACATCTGTAAGAAATCAAAAATTCCTAAGTCAAATGGCCAGTAGCTTAAGACATTCGAAGTCTAGTAATAGGGACACTGCGAACAAGAACGCTTCCTTGACCAACGATGAGCTTGTCGGTATTCGCCTCCAATTAAAGGAAATCAAAAAATCAACTCGTAACTGCGATATGATGGTTGATATGCTATTTGCAGAATACATTAAGCCGATTTCCCAGTTTAGCAGTAGATTAGGATTCAATAAAACTAATTATTGCGATTGCGACTCGGAAGAAGACAATAATACGAGTGCGTTTGAAATAGAAAGGAAGTGCGAAGGAACTGAATCTGATTCCGATCTGATCAATACTGAATACGATAGGTATTCTGATTAAAAATTGAAAGTTCAGAAATTAAAGTGAAATGGGCATTGTCAGTTTTTTGGGGCTCCCAGCAGGACACCTGGTCACAATTTGATGAGCCGGTTCGCGTATTTTGGGACTAAGAACATGCTGGCTGCCTGACCAGTCCGTTATGGCTCGTTTGCTGTTAATTAAATGGACACCTGCACGCCTAATGCGACACTGTCAGCTAGCCAGCCAGTTTGCAGTCCCTCAGGTTCTCCTGAGCCCGACAATCGCCATCAGTTTGCCTTTTTCACACTCGCAATTCACGTTAAATGACTGGCTTGAACCTTGTCGTGAACCATGGCTACCAACCAAATCGATGCCAAACTCATGAATTGATAAATGGCCGGCGAGATCGAGTATCGACCGTCGAACATAGGCATCGGCATCGGCATGGGCATCGGCATCGGCATCGATGGTCACTGGCTGCTACGTTTGGTTCATTGCCGGCCTTTGGCGAACTCGTTTGAAAATTAATAAGTTTCGATTTGGAAGCCCCAAGGAGGCGCCGAGTACAACGTTGCCGGGCAGTTTATCTGTGTGAAATTCAATTGAGGAAATATATATATAAATTGCACAAACAAGCTGAACGCCGAAGTTGCAAGGGAGCTAAGGCTGCTGCTGAAGTTGTGGCATGCAGCAGCAATAGCAGCAGCAGCTATCTAGCCGGCCAGATCCACTATGTTGTTAATTAACGCTTGCAATGGCGTAGAACCCATTAGCTCTTAATTACCATAAACATGACAATTCCATTCGTAAACAAGCAGCCAAGCAGTGCATTTGCAAGCAGTGCACGCAGTGCATTATGCATAGCAACAAGGTCGTTACCCGTTAGCAACTTGTGGCCAGCATGCCCAAGCAACACTTTTGTTGCGCTGCACTTTTCTGTTGAATTAGAATCTAAAGGAAGCCAAAATACTATACAGTTGTTTTTTTTTTTTCAATTCAACTTTGTATGCATGAATTATAATTGACTTTGACAGCAAAGCTACAACAATAACAAATTGCATGCAAAACAATCAATCAACGATAATTTCTCGCTCAATTAGACAGCAAACATGCCAAATAAAAGAAACAGAGAAACCAACTACAACAACAATAAAACGAAAATAAAGTAACGAAATTAAATTCGATTTCGTGTTAAAGTGGCAAATGCAGAGAGACGATTGGTGGGGACGCATAGGTAGGGGCATCAGACGGTTGCCAATTTGACAGTGGAATATCAAAATAGCTAGACAGACAAATGATCATTCATTCATTGTTATTGTTGTTGTTAGTGTTATTTAGTTGCAAATGCAAAATAGCTGGAAAGCAAGAAAATAATGCAGCTTTTGCTGAAGAGCTATTGGAGTAGTAGAGGGGTGCAGTTAGCTGGTAGCTGCCTTCAGCTGTCGGTAACTATGATTGTGAATAGAAAGACAAACGTTAAGAGTCGAGCCGCAAATCAATTTCATCACGATTTCTCGTTGAGATGTTGCCCCGTTGAAAGTGAAATGTGGCCATGACAGTGGTTATAGTTGCTGTTGATGTTGTTGTTTTTGTTGTTGTTGTCGTTGCTTTTGCTGTTGATCGGCTGATAATCGCAACTTAATATTTGAGACATTAACAAAACAAATCACTGAAAAATGGCAATAAGAAGTAAAAAGAGAAGAAAAGAAATTACACCCAGTTGCATGCCACATTATTCCTCATTTCCCACACAAAAAATATACATAATGGCATTTCATTTAAGAATGCCGCACCGTTAGCCGCTTCTGCCTGAGATTCAAGCTTGAGTCAATTTCACGCTGGCAGGCCAAGTGCGAGAAGAGGTTAACAAACTCATCGTTAAAGAATTCGCCAAAGCGTATCCAGAGCAACGAAGTGCGCCAATATCGAGTCCATATCCCCAGCCCCCGCCCCCGCCCAACTTTTTTTTTCCAACTGTTAAGTTCATATTAACGCTATCGCCATCGCCGACTATCGTTCATCATTGTCTTTGGACCCATGGCAAGTTCATCATGCTCGCTTGAACAGCCCAAAAGTGCGACAGTCAGAGTCGGAGTCGTCGAAGTCAAAGTCAGAGTTGGAGACAGACTGAGCGCCCTAGCCAGAGCTAGAGTTCGAGCCATAGGCAGTGCCAGCGCCTCGTCGCCAAGCGTTGCCAAAGCGATTATTGTAATTTTATTGTTGTTCGCTGTTCTCGTTGTTCTGGAAAGCCGCTCCAGACTGTGACTATGACTCTTGGTATAACAACCCGCTGATTGCCGCTGCCTTTAATGAGGTCAACCCGTTTGAGTACGGGTTCGAGTTTGGCTTCGGTTTTGGCTTTGGCTTTGTATCTTATAAGTGGTTCCGCTTCAGAGAGTCGCCATTTGATGAGAAAGTGTTCTCGCACGCTAAGAAAACATCAGCTCGATCTGCTTCCATTGTCTCCACAAATTGCTAACATCCCACCATTTCATACAATCATCTGGGATGGCCACATTTGGCTGGCAGTCTGCTACGAGCAAACAGGACATGATCATAAATGCTCATCTAAGCTGAGTGAAGCTTTTATGAAATTGGTCGCATTTGCTTTTTTGGCCCTATTGCACAACAGGCCAAGACATAAAAAAGGAGTTTTTTTTGCTTTTCATTTCTTGGCAACGAATATCGACAGCCAGTTCCAGGTTCAGGTCCAGTGCCCCGACGCTGCACAAAACTCATTGACCTTTAACACAGCCGGTGGCAGCGACGGTGGCGGCGGCGGCGGCTGCGGCGGCGCTTGGCAAGAGATTTCAGCCAAAAAATGTCGCCAAAAAGTTTTTATTTGGTTGGCCATCATTGTCGTCGTGTTGCTCCTTATTTGCCAGCCTCGCTGGGCTCTTGTTGTTGGTGGTGTTTTTTGTGTTGCAACCACGTAAATGTCAATTTGCATTTTGTTGTGCCTCCGTCGTGCTAAACTGAAGCGTTGCATAAACAGCAGCCAACATCAGCCCCTGTTGCAGTTGCAGTTGCCGCCGTCGCCTTGTTTTCAATTTGTAACTGGCCTGAAATATTTTTATTAACCGACGGAAACAATTAGCGTCGCCTTGCTAAAAAAATCAAGACAAAGAAACAAAATAAAAAAAGCAATATGCACAAAAAAGTTGTGCATATAGAAAAATTGGTGGTATGCATATTGCTCGGACAGGCGTATCTTTTCCTCTACTGCGTGGCCTTTTTCCCCTTTAACAAAAAGTGGAAATTGAAAATGCGCAAAAAATATTTCAGACACAAAATCGTGATTGTCGTTTGCCGCTGGACATTTTTTGACTGCAACTGCAAAGGCAACGGCAACGGCAACGGCAGCGGCGAGTGCAACTGCAACTGCAACTGCGTCTGTGAGTGCTACGCCTACCGCAGTCACTCTATATGCCGAAATCTGCGCAGCGATGTGGAGGCAGGCCAAGTCAGATAAGATATCGATACAGATTTACACTGGCCAGGCAATAGAATTGCGTAGGCGGCAACACACTCAGGGAGGTCCACTGAGACTCAAGACTCCGTTTCACAATTTCTTAAGTTTACTTTAAATATGCAGAGACGTGTGTAAATTAAAAAGATCTTAAGCTTAAAGTATTTAGATACTCACGGTTGTAACTGAGTCTGAGCTTAGTTTTAGCTGGTCTTACAGATAGGACAATGGAGTTTACATCTAATGATAGCTGTGGACTAAAAAGGGCTTGCGATTACCTGGATATACTCTAGATAAATAAACAAATAACTACAAATGAAATACTTGAAATTCTTGAGCTTATTTACTGGCATAAAGGAGCTGCACACCTAATTTATTTTAAATAGAAGATTTAAAAGGCGAAGTCAATAGCTCGAACTTATAATAGAAAGAACCCTATATTTTATATTTTATTACTTTAAAAAATTGTACCTAATGAGATATGTTAGTACAAATGTCTTAAACAAAGTGAATAAACTTATGATGAGTTGAGCTATTGGCAATTAGTTTTTAAATAAATACTGTCTTGATGAAAGGATTCAGCTAGTTAAGGAGCAGAGATTCTTGGCAACAATTTTGTTGTAACATTAAAGCGGAATATGAGCGAAAACATTGGCCTTATGGTATTTAAAAGATCCTATAATCGTGTTTTACGTAGGATTTTTCACCAATGAATGCAATAACAATAACAAAGTACATAAATTATATTAAAAATTATGCTTACCAAAGGAAAATGAAATGAAAATCCGAAAACTAACTGGAGAGCTGTGCAATGTGAAAATTAGATAGCATAGAGAAATTATCTGGCTAGGTGGACTGCAATATGCATAGAAGTTAGCAAAATGCCTAAAAGGCAGAGTTCAGGGAATCTCCCAGTAAAGCAAGGCACTCTTTCAAATTACTTCTCAGTTTTTGGTGAAAATTTGTTCACTTAATTCAAAAGCTGGTAAATGGCCGCTAGGAGTTGTCTCTGGCACCTCCCCAGTTACCACTTGCCACTTGCCACTTGCCACTTACCAGTGGCCAGTTTCTGCTTTGCCATTTGTCGGCTAATGCAATTAAAATTAATAAATGAAAATCAATCGATGCCCCAACGACAATTATCAATTGCAATTGTAATGCGGCATTTGATGCTCAATTGCTGATTTCAGGTTTTTTGTTTAGTTTTTGGCGATTTTGTGTTTATCGTTTAAGGAAGTGTTAATTTATTTACTTCTCTCTTGCCATTGATTGCCATTGATTTTCCCCAGAGGGGCAAAAATATCGGAGAAAAAATAATAATAAATTGCCACTGATAGCTAAAAATTATTGATTATTTCGAAATGGACAGCGTTTAAATGTTTATGGTGTCCGCAGTCGTCGCTGTTGATTCATCGTTGTTGTTGCTGTTGTTGTTGTTGTTGCTGGCTGAATCGCTGGCGGTTATGAGATCAAACAAAACAACGCGAAAATGTGCCAACAACACGATAGGTGCGCAGATTTCCTCTTTTATATCAAAGTCTATGCGATTCGTTTTCTTTTTATTTTCTTTTCTAATAATAATACAAAAGCAGAAACAACATAAGCACTAACAACTACAACAATAACAACCAGGGAGAGAAAAAATCATACATCAAGATTATTGTAACTCGCGGCAATTGCATCACAGTAATGGCCAACAACAACAACAACAACAACAACAACTTCAGAGTGTGCAAATCGCCTGGTGAAGCAAAAGCAAAAACAAAAATAAAATTGGAAATCGCAAGAAACATTTTACATTTGCATAAAAATGCATGGCACAAAGTACAAGCGGTAAAAATGTTTGCCGCATGTTGCGCAGCGTGACGAGGGGTGGACAGCGATCAACAAGCGACGGAGGGAAGGAGGTACTGCGGCAGGGGGCGGGAGAGCTGTTTAGTGGGAGGTAGACGAAACAACCTTCAAGCTACAAAACACTTGACTCCATTGCAGAGATGCAAAGTCCGTGGTGGCGGCGTTGACGTCGCTTTGGTTTGATTGAACACAAGGATATGTGTCCGCCGGCAACAGACAGAGCCAGAGCCAGAGTCAGAGCTGATGCTGAAGCTGGAGTCGCAGCTAAAGCCAGAGCAATAGCAACAACAATAACATAAACCAAAGTGCAGTCAAGTCAACAGCAACAGCAACAACTAAGCTGCAATGCAACACTGACAGCAACGCAGATCACCAGCTACAACAACAGCAACAATATTAACAATGCCAACGTCCACAATTCGAGGCAAAACGCAACACTTTCACTCTACTTAAGACGGATGAGACGATTGAGGGAGGAGCAGCATCACCAGCAGCAGCAACGGCAGCGGGAGCAGGCTTAAGACAAGATCGCGTTGGTGGGAAAATGCAGCAATCGTTTTCCACGTATAACCCCAAAGCCCACACCACCCCACATTGGCCCGCCCCTCGGAGCGCTGCTCTTGCTATCGATATTTATTATCATTTCGCGCGGCTTTCGTTGCCAACTGCACGGGCAAAGGCACAGATAATCATTTGCATGAACACAAGTCCTCAATTGCTGCCCGATCAATCAAGCAATCAATTTGAGGCGAAACAACTCAAACGAAAATAAGCTTTCGGAATAATCCTTTGTGGAAAGCGATGCTAACTTGACCCTAGCTGACAGCGACTCCCATATTGAAGTT